ACACACACACACACACACACACACACACACACACACACACACACACAGAAAGGAGAGGTGTGTGGTTAAACTCATACATTTTACTGTTACTGAACAAATTTCTGATGTCCTGTTGTGGTCTAACAGGCGCACTCCGTTCTATTCCCCAAACACACACACTCTTCCGTTGCGGTTTGGCTAAATGTGCATTCAACCCTGAATTCTCCAACTGAACTAAGGTGTCACACTCATGCTTACAACTTGTACAGTTGGTATGAGGTGCTGCCAAGATCGAGACAAACGTTGTATGATCTACTGAACCCGACTTGTTGTCAGTTCTTGTATGTCTGCTCTGTAGCTTGTATTTCTGTGTGATTTTGACCAGAGATGTCTTCAAGATGTAGCTTGTATGCAACTCATTTGCAGGAGTAATTGGTGTGTGATGAAGGTGAGAGGTGACTAGAGTTTCTCGTTAATTCCTCTCAGTGCTTCGGTGAGCAGAGTGCTGATTGGAGCATAGATGACAGCTACATAATTGCACAAATGGAGGTGGGAGATTTTTACAAGCTGGGGCCTTAGTCCGGAGCTCCCTTCATCAGCTCTCTTTCTCTCCTTCCTTCACGTTCTGTCTCCTTCTTCAGCTCGCGCTCTCTCCTAGCCAGCAAAGGAGTTGACAGATTGAACACATACGGTATATAAATGAGCGAATGCACGTGCACACTTCCCATAATATTTCCATTGAAGTGACATGATGACTCAGCCTTTTAGTAACATGCCCTATTTGCGCTGGACATGAATTACCTGGCTGACCTCGTGTGATTTAGACTTCACCCCATGTCTGGCTTTCACGCGGCATATTTGTACCGGATAAATAAAAAGTCTGTGTGTCAATTAAATTTAAGGATTATCTCCAGATATGATTGAAACATAGTGTATCTTCATGAAATATTTGCATGACCTGCCATGAACAGTAACTCTTAAGTTTGTATTTTCTACATGAGAAGTGAAGTACACAATACACTCAAGTAGTTCAAGTAGTTTAAAGTAATCACAACAGTGTTGCTGGCAACTAACAATAAAAATGGACTTTCCGTTGTTTCCTTAAAAATTCAAAATAGTGAAGGATTTTGTAATTTATTGCAACTTTGTAATTATTATGAATGGCATACAGAAAATTTGAAAGTCATTTGATAACTATACTAACTAAGGCTATGACATATTTGAAAATGTCAGTTTGTGTCATGACTTGTGAAGGCTGTTCAAACGGACTACTCTCACGAAGGTGGAAACCATTAGCTATACATACTGTAGCTACATGAGCCGACTGAATTGTCACTGTAAATGCTGTCAAATCTATTATTTCCACTGTTACCTGCATCATTGTTAGCCTGGAAAAGGAAAATAAATAAAGGAATCTTTTGTGAAATGACAAAATATATAAAAGACAATTTACTGAGATGAGTTTGGTCAAATGTATATTATCAGCAGTGGAATTGTAATTTTACAGATTGAGGACATGGCAGATACTTACGTGATTAAGGAAAACTTCCCTCCAAACTACAGGAGGACCCAAGGCAATGCTAATTCCATCTAACAATCTGTGATTTTCTCTCTTTACAGACTATTACATCTGAGGCACAAAAGAGGTGTTATGTTTATGCGCATGTCTGAACCACACACTCATCCACATGTCCACAGACACACACACACGCAAGGCACCTCCTATGTCACTTGGGCCAGGCCACTTAAGACACTCATACACAGGCCAGACAACTACTTGTACTATCAGCTTATCAAAACTTACTGCGAGGAGAAGAGGAACATTAAAACGGCCTTTGTGGTGCCACAGCGGCTGGGCCACCTCACACTGAGTCACTTAGAGGAACATCATTAAAACGGCTGACCAAGTTCACAGAACACTTCCATCTGTGTTCCCCCACTGTTTCTCCTTTGCACACATGCTTCCACCATCAGTGGATATTCATCACTGGGGTTTCCCCCCCCCCACACACACACTCTTTTTCTGCCCCCCCTGGATGAGATTTAAGAGAGCTTTGAATGGAATCTTTTAGCTCCCACATGACTCTCTCTCCACGTCGTGTTTTTCGCTGCTGCTGAGCGACGCACAGCTCTCACAGAGCGCCTCTGTTCATTCGCCGCGGTGACACAAAGGCTACATTTGAAGCATGCTCTGCAGCACGCCGTCGCCGGAACACACGCCACAACAAATGGCCCTGTTGTCTGTGTGTGTGTGTGTGTGTGTGTGTGTGATGAGTGACCAGACAGAGAAGCCAGGCATTGACCCTTTGTGATGGAGCCCTAGGGGCCAGACAAGGCTGCCCAGCTGTACCCCTCTGACCCCCCCACTCTCCATTTTTACACTCTGCACTGTACGTCAAGGCTGTAAAATTTAACCCTTTAAAAGGGAGTCTCTTTGGCATAAACTCGTGCCTGACATGTCCTCAGGGACAAATCCATCGACACACAGAAGCTAATACATAAGATTCCTTACATATGTTCCTCAAACATGGGTTGCTCCACTCTCCACAGGATCATTATGGCATGGTGAGCCACTCCAAACATTGAATTAATTTGGTTGCAGACATATGATAGCGGTTACTGTGTAATGGGTTTGTGTGAGCTCCAAATGGGAGCTCGCGGTGTTGACATTTTGAATTATCATCCAAATCCAAGATGTGGTAGAAATAAAGAGATGGCTCATCTTATAGAGAAACAGAGACAATTCAAGAGTACATTCAAAGGTCCTGCACCTTTTCTGGCTGCCCATCAGTCAATTTGCCGCTTCTGTATTTAGTATGACTTTATTTCTGTTTCCCCACACTTGTTCTACCGTTTTATAGCTGAACACAGGCCGGATGTGTCACAGCCCCAGCACTGGGCAAACATTCCCAGATGAACTCCACGACCACTAACATCAACACATCATGGACAAATCTCCACTCGGGTTTGGGTTACTATTAGTCATGCATTTTATGGCGCAGAGTGGGTGAGTGGGTGCCATGTATGTGTGTGTGTGTGTCAATGTGTGTGGGTGTATGTGTGTTAGCAGACAACTGTGTGCGAGAAGAGGAGGCCATTCTTACCAGCACTGGAGCCTGCGCCAGTGGTGAGGTCAGCACCCATGAGGCCACCTGAAAGATGAAAGAGAGAGGAGAGCAAAAGAGAGAAAACCATTAGAGGATAGACGCCCACCTAACATCCACGATGCCTCCTGTCTCTTACCTCGGTGGCCTTTCAGAGAACTCAATCTAATCACAATCCACCTTGTGTGTGTGTGTGTGTTTTTACGTGTCAGTACATCATATGTGCACTGATACTAGAAGTAATACTGCTTCCCACTCAAATGGTAACACTCTGAGCAACTGGACACTGCGAGTGGATACATCGAGCTGCCGTCCAAGAAAAATGACACATTATTATTTTTAAGCCATGCGAGGTGGAAGAGTGGGAGGGTCCAGAACATGTGCGGTTTGGTGTGGATGCTGCGAGCGCCAAAACTCATATTTAGTTTGTGCTAGCGCTTCTAGCATCCAGTTGTAATGACAGGGTGAGGGTGTGGGCAGCAGCGTTCAGACCAGAGGGACAGAAAAAGGACTTTGGACAACAATAACAAACCAACAGGCCTGATTTGCTTATGTCACCACTCAAAGCCTGTACATAGACATCCCATGTGTGGAACCTCACCCTAAATCAACGAGACTGTGGGCTGGGATTTAATATGCAAAAAAAAATACTGAGCGAGCAATATGTGAATATAGATTTTAATGAATTCACTGCTTTTAGATTTAGGAATATTACAGGAAGCTGTCATAAAAGGAATCACGCATTCGAAGCGTGTGTCTATTAGCATCACAGAAGGGTACACACACAGTTGAGAAGGGAGAGAGATTGGATAACAGCGTGTACATGGGTGTATGGAGTGCATGTGAGGCTCTTCTTTTGTTACCTGCACTGGGGGGTCTGTGTGTGACTCCGGGAGACATGCTGTTTCTCTGTAGGCCGTGGTGCGCCAATGGCAACAGGTTGTGGTTGCCTAGGGAACCACCGGGATGGCTGTAAATGAGATTGTTCTGGTTGCTGACGGGAAGGGACACAGACATGTCATAGTTCGACTGGGGCACGGCCTGCTGAGAGAGAGAAAGAAAGAAAGAGAGACACAGGAACAAGGTTGATTAGACTAAAGAGAGTAATTATTGCAGTGGGTGAAGAAACTAAAACAAGGCCTTCGAGCAGAGGAATGGACACAGGATGAGAGAAACAGACGTGACAATTCAGAAACACTCCAGGAACTCAAAGGAATTCAAAAATGTTTGACTATCTGCAATAAAAACAGTCAAACAAAAGAAAAAACAGCCAAGTTCCAAAGGACAACTAACAATGAACAGCAATGCGTAGATGAACGGTACGGAGAACAGCTTCCAAGACAAAGACTAAAAATACGAGGCAGTATGGATGGTGGAGGGGAGCACTGAAATTAAAGGGTAAGCATCTAGAAAACTCCTCCCAGAGTTGCTCAAATTGCCGCCAAGATGATGGGTTTGAAATACGTTGTCGCTCAAACTTGAACCAGAATTGGTTACTGTATCTTTCTGTCCAAGGCCTAAGATTTTGTCGCTGATACGTTGTGACGTTTGTCATCGTGAAGGCCAACGACCCGACCTGGAAATATTATTTTGTGGACATTTATTTCCCCTGAAATACATTCCTGGTTTTTGATATTAGAGAAATAAGAATAATTTACTGGGAGGACAGCCAATGGCATCCCATTGTTCTAAAAGGGCTAAAGATAATTCAGTCTGTCTTTACCTCACTAAAAAAGTCTGCAATATTTCTTGCAATGGTAGCTTCAAGACTGGAGAACTGAATGCAATTAGGTATAATTTATTTGCCTGTCACATGGAGCTAATGCAAAGTGTTATTAAGGGGTAGATTCAGATCAGTCAGCAGTCTCATCAGGAACATGAGAAGAGGTAGCCTGTCGGCCCCGGGCGTCTAGTTTGTCATGTTTATTGTGTCACTTGGCAGAAGGGCTTAACCCAGGGAGTGCCCTGGAAGTGGTTCATCCTGCATGTTAGCTTTAGGAAGTAGAAAATAGGACCCTAAATTACTGCCATGTGTCTCAGAGCCATGGAGGGAGCGCATCAGGGGGATCATCAGCCTGGCTTACTTGGAAGTGGAATATGTGCCTTAGCGCTGCTTTGTCTTGTTCTTTTTGCAGGCCAAATATTATTTCATTGCGGGTCTCTAAACGTTTCTCTTTTACTGCAACTTCACATAGTGGTGGGCTAGCCAAAAGCTGTGGAAGCTTCCTTTTATTTTAAGTGAGGGGCTGCCTCTGGTTATGTTATATTTTTTTTAAAGACTTTCAGTAATTTCTTCCATCTCGAATTCCTTGTTGGACTTTTTATACCTCAAGATTTCCCTATGCGGTGTTTTCTAAGAGTGAGGGAGCTGTCTCAATGTGTGCACATTTGCGTGAACACACATCCCTTCGCTGGGTGTAAGGGCCCCGTCTGTAAGCTGTCCTTTAACTGGTGCCATCCTTCCTGTTTTTAACTCATCTTCCTCCTCGCCTCTCCCCACAGTCCCCTGCAATCCAGAGGCCCAGTGCTTGGCAGCCACCCTGACCACACGTTGAACTGCCACTTGTTGTCTGCAGAGCCCCCCCCCCGCCCCCCAATGCCACCACCCTGCTGTTCCACCCCCATCCCCACCCAGCTCTGATCCCAAACCCACCCTACACCGCCACGCCATCCCAGCTCACCAACCCCTGCCTTGCTTCTAACCACATCTCCCCCTGCTCCACGTGGCTTAGACACTACTGTTCTTCTCTGAATGATCTACCATGGAATTATCTCTTTCTCTGTAAGGCTACAGCACTAATCATTCCAGTATGGTGCTTTCTGAACGAAGGGCAGGCTCAGTTTACATAGAGAGCAGCCTATATTTTGTGGTTTCTGGCTTCTGGCTATAGATTAGATTCTTTGTAAAATGAAGACAATATAATACAAATTCAGCAGCTCACATGTTTTGACGTCTAACAGAGATGTTGTTAGGCTACTGAGGACTTTGCCTTCAATTATTCCAGCAAGGAGTAGAGATAATTAAGTTTTGTGAGGTACGGAGATACGCTAAGAGTTTCTGAATGTCTGCTGCTGTTTCATTGCCACAATGCCTGTCCTTGTTGTTACGGGTGACTGAGCGCTGTGTTTTGGTGCAGGAAAAGCGCATGCAGACCACACCTCCCCTGAGAGCCAGGCAAGGCATTATGGGTAACGGGTTCAAGGAGGGAACCCAGTAAGGTTAAAATTTGTCATGAGAGAAAGTCTGCAATTATATAGCAAAAGTGCCTGCTAGTTATGGTTACAGTTGTGTCAAATTAGAGGACCGTTTCTCAACTGTAATCAAGCAAAATCAAAGGAACTGTAATTCTTTTTACTGTAAGTATACAATATCAATTCACTCTTGTCTCACTCTCACTTTGTGTATTTAGTCTAGTGGCAAACAATGGTGGTTAGCTGGGTTAGCTCAAGAGTTACTGGCAAGTCAGCATTTTGTTAGCCTGCTGAGGATGCGGCGTAGCGTCAACCCAGTACTTACAGGTATCTTATGAGTTTGAATCATGTGATCAAACTCCTCGTTAATCTGTTTGTATTTCTCCTCAGTGCGTGGGGAGAGGATGAGAGCAGACTCGAGCTCCGGGCTTTCGCCGCCTTTGTTCTCCTTCTTGCTTAATGCCTGCCAGGTCCCACAACCACAGAGACGGACGGAGGGAGACACAAATGAAGGGACGGAGAGATGGGTGGTAGGAACAGATGACAAAAACGAGGAGACGAGGACGAAGCGACAGAAAGCATAAGGGGGAAAAAAAAGGGAAAGAGAGGAAAGAAAGGTGAGAGGAAGGTTCGGGGTTTAAGAGGTACTTACACACAGTCTCTGTCTGCTGATCATCAGATCAATGTCCTCATTTATTTTCCTGTACTTGTCCTCGGACTCGGGACTGTGGCCGACCGAGTCGTCTGCGTCGGGGTCTGGGCTGTCACAGCCGTTTAGGCCCTTCTTTCTCAATGTCTGCAAACACAGCAGTTGCACAAAATAGTTGAAGGGCTTTGGGATCGGGAACATGACCCAAGTGAACAGCTTGGGAGGGACACATGGTGATGACATGTGAAGAGGTACCCTTTACAATCCATCCTGACAAAAGACCAATTACAAAACTATAACTAATATATTGATATATTTCAAATTAATACGTTTCCAAAGCACTTTTTCTCTCTGAGAAAATTGTGTCTGTTACTGAGAAATTGTTCCGCAAAAGAAAGTAATCATTTTGGCAGGCTCCGCCAAACATCCATCAACATGGGGGAGACACAAGGATACACTGACTGCTTTGTGAACAAGAAAACATGCAGTAAAACATGGCACAAAGGATTTAATCGCATCCAATAGCGAAACATAACAAGTGATCAAGCTCTTCACCCAATGACATATCATGGACCTTGAAACCTCGTAATTACACAGGAAAAGGAAAAGTCGTAAAAGTAAAATACATTTTATAACCATAATCATCAGTGTTTCATGAAATAGAATTAAAATGCAGTTGAAGGACTTGAGTTCATAACTGTGGTATTATGTGCTATTAAAAGTGGCAGTTTCTGTTTTGGCCACCTGATGGCCACCTGCCCCCATTAGACTGGCCAGAAAACAGCAGACAGGCAGAAAAGCGCACACTCCACTCGCTCACCACTCCCTCTGAGGGGAAGAGCGATGCAGACAAAGAGAGCGTAAGAGGGAGAGCGCTGCCTCGGTCCTTTTTTAGATATTGTTGACAACCATAACAACAGGGATAAGTTTCAGAGGACATTACCGTGTGTGATAGCACGAGGGTATGTTTGTTTGAGCAAGTAGGCATGTACCGATAGGTGCTGTGTTCATTCGCCTCGTAAGAAGAGACAAAGACAGAGCCCAAGAGAAGAAAAGTACAGTAGCTGACAGTTAGAGATCTCATCAAAGGCCCCCCCACACACACACACACACCTCCTCTCCTCTCCAGCCCGCTTTCACTCTCCTCCTCCCCCCGCTTCCCTCTCTCCTCCTGGCTTTAATAAAGGGAGATTAGTCTACAGGAGGAATATCACGGGCCTGCTCCTGTCTGTGCAGTCGTCGCTTCACACTGCGCTCTCCTACTTTCATCTGAAGCTCCATATCAGACAGACGTAATTAAATTTACTTTAGCACACCCTGTATTTGATGCTGATCAAGTATGTGTGTCTCTCTCTCTCTCTGTATATGTTGTAGTGTGTGTATGTGTCTGCTGGTGTGAGTGTGTGTGTGTCTGTGTGTGGGAGGGGAAAGAGGGGAATGAGTCTGTGTATGTGTGTGCATGTGTGGGTGTGTGAGAGTGGGTGTTAGCGTCAAGAAAAAAAGACAGAGAGACTGAGCAGGAGCAAGGAGGAAGATAGATGCTAAGATAAGTTAATCTCAGTGAACTTCTTCCTCTCATTTGTTTGTCTCCGTCAGTACTCACTCACGGAAGAGATACGAGTGCTAGCTTCTCCATCACAACCAGCAGCCGAAGTGACAGGGAGCGATCTGCCTGCTTAGAAAACAAATAACAATCCAGTCATCTCTCATGTCAGCACAACAAAGGCCTGTTTTGAGTGTGGTTTTAGTGAACTTAGAGGGCTTCTTTTGTGTGTGTGCGATAACTGTTTGATTCCTGAGGCGTCTCGTGGCGAGGCAGCTACTGTAAGCGTGTCAACATTTGCTGGCTCTCCTCTTCTCTCTCTGAATTCTCACTTGGCCCCCAGAGTGGAAATCTGGAATTCTGAATTTGAAAGCGTCTCTCACATCTTTTGACAGTCTTCAGGAAATCACACCAAACAAATCAACCAAGGCGGTGCAGGATATCTGACTTCTAACAGACCCACAGTGAATCAGGCACTCTTGCTCCATCAGAGGTGGATGAGTCAAAAGAACAAAGGGGTTGCAAAGGTTTAGCATGCTGTCTTTTTTGGCAAAGGCGTGAGATGTAAAACTTTTGCTATTTCTTTGGTGTAGTTTCATTGTGGCCTCGGCGATGCATCATATCGAACTGACAAGAGCTGAACCAGTGGCCTTTTTCTGTTCACATGAGGATGCATGGAAGGAAAAACAACTTTTCTTCCTACTTGCACAGATTTCCACCACCTACCGCCGCTAGCACTGATTGCATGAGAGATTCATTTCCACTTCTTGGAAGAATAGCAGTGGGGCATTGCTGGGGGGGGGGGGGGGGGGGGGGGGGGGGGGGGGCGGGGGTAAAGGTGACACCCATATGGGGCAACTGAGCGCTGGTCTCACAGGGGGTTGGGCAGTGGTTGCGTTGGGTGTTGATTGGGTGCAGGGCATGAGTGTTATATGACTTTGAAGCATGTGGCCCCGGCTTAGCTTTCCATCGGGGCTCAGCACATTGAGGGTGCGGTACAAGGACGGTATGCCACTCATCCCAGTTATGCCCACCTGCTTAAAGACATCACACCTGTTGCCAAAGGCTGACACATAACCCAACAGCCAATCAGATCCGTTGGAGTGCACATATAGCCAAAGAAGGGCCTCTCACTCTTGCCCTTTCCCCCTCACCGCCCTACTCTCGTCATCCTATATATCCTTCTCTAATAGCCCATTGCTTAATCTGTGCCCTGAATTTGTTGTGTTTCATGGCTCTGCGCCACAGTCATCGACTGCTGCTCCAAACAAGGCTCTGAGTCTCTCATTCAGTGACATCATCACTATATAAGACACATCAAAGACGTACAATTCAAAATGACGGAGAGAATAATGATCATTGGAAAAGGAGCTGCTACAACTATATTGAAAAAAGTTAGTATGGGTATGAAGAGCTAGCATGAAAATAGAGTCTTTGGGGGATATGCTAATAAGATGAGGATTAAGCAAAAACACTTTTGTGCAGTTCACTTGTACTAAGGATTCTATGCAGAAAATATTCCCCCAAATGATCATTCTCATATTCAAATTATTCAATTTCACAAGTAACTGGGATTTTCTGTTTCATAAAGAAATGATCATTGTTTTATTCTTCCAAAATCACTGCTGGCATAAAAGCCAGAGCATTTCTATGGAGCATTGTTCAAGTTTATGGCAATTGTATTGCTTCCGATTACAAAAGTAACATTTTTCACTGTTAATTAATGAATATATTCTTTGGTCAGTCAGTTCATTTTGAACTAAAAATAAGACGAATCAAACTAAATTTCCTGTACAGTTTAACACAACAGAAAAATGTGGAAATGCAATGAACTGAGAAACTAGTTCAAAAGAGAGAGGCTGATGGAGAAAGGGGGGTAAGAGAGAGAAAAAAGCTACACAGCTACTAACTACTACAATGTGAACAGTCACCGGTCATGCTACAAGAGAGTGAGAACAGCAAACGTGAGAAAATAAGAGGAAGGAGAAAAGTATTACAGAAAGGAGCGACGAAGCTGTGTATGCTTGCTTGGCTCTGGTGTCTTTCTCTGTGGCCCCTTTGGAGGCTTGCTCCTAATTAAACTCCTTCTTCATGATGCTCCCTCATGGCTCGACTTGTCACAGGGCCTGTGTGAAGCAGGCACAGCATAGACACGGCGTCCTACATATTTAGACACCCGTCTCATCGGTACCCTTCAGCTCTGCCCCCTCAGCTAGGCTGGCCTAGACTGGGCAGGGCTAAGATGGGCTGGAGGACTACAGTGAGCAAGGCCGCCAGGGCTGGATTGAAATAATCAGAGGCAGGTTTGAGCTACAAGGGAACTGAATCATATTGTATATTGCTTGGTGTTAGTACATCTGTCAAAGATTTGAGTACTCTGATGTTTTAATTGCAGGAAAAAGTCCAGCTTTATACTCCTTTCATAGTTTAGGGTGTGGGTAATAACTTCATGTAGCTCTTGAGAAAAACTGTGGAGGGTATTTGGGTGTGAATTCAGGGTGGCCCCAGGGGGTCTACGAGGGACAGCTGACGCCTGCCCACAGCTCCTGCCATACCAGGATCCGTCTGCTCGGCATTCTGCCACCCTGCTCACCCTCTCTATCCCTCTATCCATCTTTCTGCCCCCATCTTTCCGTCTCAGTCTGTTTCGCAGTCTGTCTCTGTCTCCCTACCTCTGTCCTCTTCCCCTCATTTTCTGCAGTACTACCACGTCTCAGCAGAAGCCGAGTCAAAATATTGCTGGCTTGATGGGTACATCTTTATTTCTGATAGACTTGGGCTAGTTGCTGGGTTGTGTTTGGAAAGAGCTTCATTCCTGACCATTCCCCTCTGCAGTTATCTTGGCAGTGGCTAAAGGGTACGACACATTCAATATTGTGTTTATGGCTATTGGCGACAGCCAGGCCAGTGAATGTTTCTCAATGTCTTCAACCCAATGGCTGACAGCTTCAGAGAAAAAAAACCTCTACAAAAACAGCCAGTTATAATAGGCCTTTTATATCTTTGCCAGCACTGTATGGTCTTCAGAATACACATACTATTGTAAGCAAAACCAAGACTTATAAAAGAAGATAGTATACTACCAGAGCACAAAGATTTTTCCCCCATAAATGCAGCAATTTATGGTTTGCAGTATATTTCAGCAGGCGATGGAAAACAAGTTACTGACAGATGAGCACAATAAGAAAGCACTATTAACTGTGCCACTTATGGATAATCATATTTGATGTGCTGTTAAAGTGTAAAATTGTACAGGGAATAAACAGCTTTGCCTAGCAGGGTCTCAGCCTCTGTTTGTCACAATGTTAAAAACGGTTGAGAACAGATTGAGTCACTCTGACTATCAGAGACACTCCTTGAACACATGACATTTGGCAATTCATACAGACCTGCTTTCAGAATATGTGAGCATTGGTGTAGGTTGAGTTGAATTACTTATTGTATTATTACTAATTAATGCAAATTAAAAGGGCTCCCAAATAATTTTCAAGAAAATGTCATCTAAAGTTTAGGGCAACAATATTTAAATAGGCTTTTAAAAACCACACAATGTATCAATGTCTGAATGGGTTACGGTAGGCGTAACCACACATAAATCTACAGT